GCCAGCGGCGCGGCTCGGTTCCCCGTCGCCGGTCCCGGTCCGGTACGGGGGCAACACTGAGGGTTGCGATCCGTTGCCGGACACGGAAAAAGACAAAAAAAACAAAAAAACAAAAAAAAAACAGATGAGAACGTCTAGTAATTAGTTTCCACAGTCTCTAATTCTGCTACTAATTGATCAACCAAGAACAAATTCCCTTTTCACTATGGCAAAACAAACTGCAAAATTGAAATTAATGAGGTGTCTGGTCCTTTGAGTCCTAAAAACAGCAGAAAGGAAAGCAAAAACACCTCCAGAGATTATTCCCTCTTCTTTGTACCAAAATGATTTGTCATAACTGATCTTTAGTAAAGGTTAAACAATTCAAGATGAAGGACATCATAAATTCTAAGAAGCTTTATCAGCTCATCTTCAAAAGTCAAAAGACTTGAATTTCTTAGGATTCTTTTCAGGATATAAAAGACCTCAGTTAAATTAAACATAAAAAACCCTTTGTGTCTGAAGATTTTAAAAGACAGAGACTTTTAGTTTTTTCCAAAGCCAGGCTAACAATGCTCAGCAAAAAGGGCAACAAGGCCAACACACATACTGACTCTAGGAAATATGTGAAAATTTTAAGTATGAGCTAATGTTATTTTTCTCATTAAACATAAACTGTCAGTTATGTTCTACTAACAAGAATTCTTGGTACAGAAAATGTACTCATGTTCAAGTAATAAATCAAGTTCAGAAATCTTTAACTAGCAATACTTCAATCTATCCCCGTAGAGAACCTACAAAATTACTCAAATTTATAAATTATCAATATCAAAGTGCATCTTGTAATCTGACAAAGAATTCAAATATTTTTTTCTCTCCCCACTATTACATAGGAAGCATTATGACTTTTTAGCAAATGTGTTCCTTGTAGATAGCCACCCATTGGTAAGGCCCTGTTGGATTCCTATCACCCTCTCCTTTGCCGTGGGCACTAAATCAAGGAGGAATCATTTAGAAGAAATGGTGAGGGAGGAAGAAAGGCAAAACCTACAAGTCGACCAAAAAAAAAAAAAGAAAAATGTGAGGAAGAGATTGATATCCAAAGCTAATGACAGCTATGAAACAACACAGAATATACAGCAACACTAATGTGTTTATATGCCCACTCCAAAGAACTTATTCTAAATAAATAAAATGAGCAGGGAAAAAAATCAGTATGATCAATATTGTATACTGTTCAATATACTACAATATTTTTTATAATAGTCAGTTTTGGAAATAACAAAAATGAACAACAGAAATCTATGGAACATACACGTGATAGTATATTACATAGTTAACATAATCATAAACAATATAGATTAGTTTTACACACACACATATGTACACATATTTATACCCACACACATACCTGTGCATGCATGTACATAGCTGGTTTTCTTTACAATCAACCCTTCCCTTTTCTCTACTTTCCCCCTCACCACTCCTCACCCCTTTTCCTTAGGCAGCAAATGGTACCCTAATGTGATTTCTTTTCCTCTTCAAAGCTGCCCTTAATGTTCATTTTAATTAGATCTCATTTATAGAAAACAGTTTTCTTTCTTTCTTAAAAAAAAAATTGTATGGTCAAGCCATGTAGTGTGATCCCCTCTAATGCAGAAGCCCCTTTCCCTTATTTGGATGGACTCAGCAGCTGAGATCTGCAGGACTGCACTATTGTTATTCATATTTAACAAAGACATTAACAACAACGAAACCACTGCTCCCTGAACCTGACTTTATCATGCCCTGAATCATTAGAGCTGGGTCACTGTGTTATATAAATTACATGACTACTGATAGTATAGTATGATCAACAGGAATGAATTAATTTTGCATTGGTAATAGGTGCCAGCACTTTCTGGCCAGTAATCAAATGAGTGTTTAACAGCTATAACTTGAATAACACAAGGTAATGGTTTCAGAGACAAGAGGGCAGACTGTTTTACTGGTATACCAGGATGAGCCAGGGGATTCTACCAGTTTCAATGTAGCAGACAGTTCATTTACTTACTGCAAATGTCAAGAGGAGGAACTTGTTGAGGAGTACAGGGTTTTCAAGAGCAGCACCCGATTTTATGGATTCCCATATCTGCCAGAAGAAAAAGCGTCAAGGGAGGTTACCAGGTATCTCTGAGATTCTCACTCTCCAGCAAAGCATGGAGCTGCAAAGCTCCAGGCTCTTCTTTCCCACAGGCCTGGCACCACTTATCCCAGGCAATGAAGTGGGCTGTTCCCTCACTCTGCTCCCTTGACACTGCCACTCCCTTCAGGACCTGAGCAAAGTGAGAGAGGCCAAGCACCGCCTCTCAGCAGGTCTCAGCACAGAGGAGGCAGCCAGGCCACTTTCATGCCTTCATAATTTCCTTCAGCACATACTTACTTATCATCTACTATACACCAGGCACATCAGGGTTACAGAAACAAAAGACATAGTCCCTTCCCTCAAGAAGCTCATAGTCCAGAGAGACAGGCATAAAACTGTACAAGTTCAACACCATGTAGGATTTGCTATCACAGAAACGTAAAATTCCTGGGAGAAACACCAGACTCAGCTAGGGAGGTGGGAGGGAAAAGAGCCTGGAAGGGGCTCTCAAAGGAAGTGATTTGAAATATCTGTAGGGTATTTCTTAAAGCCTTATTTAGGATTATGTTGCCCAGAGAGATGAGGAAAGGAGAACGAACTTCAAGTTTGTGTGTACTCAGCAAGAACTGTGTCTGGAAGCAAAAGCTGGCACTGGTCAGCAGCTGCTAATCACAGATGTTGCAGCAGATAAGATCAGTTGCTAAACTTAGTGTCACTAAGCAAGACAAAATAGTTGCACCAATAAGAACCATTCCCCAGGTATGGGAGTAAAAGAGAAATAAGTTCTTCCTACTGACATCATCATCTTGGAGGAGCTGGACCGCTTTCTGATAAGCCAAGGGGGCCAGGAATCCTGTGGGGAGCAACCTGCTTTTTTCTGTGATAAATTAAAAAGAGTGTGGCCAAAGGAGGAGGCCCAGGAGCAGTTCAAGCCACAGATCAAGAAAAACAACCATCATCACCATCATCATGCAGTCACAAGCTGCATCCATCACAAGGGACTGGAGGAACCAAAGGTGGGAGACTTCCTTCTCTGACCGCTACGCCCCCATTAGTAAGACTCTTATTTTTTAAGACTAGTATAAAGACCCCTCGATTAAGTAGGTTAGAGAGAATTGGGATAAACCACTCTACCTCCCTTTTTAATTCCTCTCACTAACTCAGTAGTGAAGAAGCACAGGATAGAGAGAGCATCACATCCCAAGGAGAGAGGAGAGAATAAAAGTAGGTGAAGGGAGTTATAAGTGCTTGCTGTGACTGGGTCACAGAATGCAAGGGCAAGAGTGACAGGACAGAAAGGCCAAGGAGACTAGCAGGGGCCAGGCCTCTTAAAAGTCAGACTAAGTAGGCCAGATGAAGTAGATTAAATTTAGCCCTGAAGACACTAGAGAGACTCCATAACCATCCACAGCACCACAGTGCACAAGACTGTCAAGCCTCTCCAGGGCACAAGGAACAGAGCACCCAGATGCCTTCAGCCGCAGGAACATAACGCTTAGAGAGAGGCCAGTTGCTTCAGAATGCTAGTTGGAGATTAGCAGCAAATCTGATTTTTCAACCTCTGTCCTGCCACGAATTTCCAGCCTATCCCCATGTCCGATTCTGGATGTCTTCTCCCTGACTTTCCCGCTTACACAGAAGGAAAAAGCCAGGAGTATTCTCCCTGGGGAAATAACCAAAAGCCTACAAACATCTCTGAATACCATTATATACTAGTTCCTGCGAAAGACCCACAGGCCTAATTAGAAACACTGCACCTGCTGGGACCACAGAAAATATGACAGATACATCATGTTTTCCCAGCTAACCTCGTTTGCTGCTTGTTCCAAAAGGAGCTTCTTATCTGCAGTCTTGAAAGACTCGAGTGTGTTGGTGTTATATAGTGTTCCGACAGCGGGGCAGCAATGTGCTGGGGTAGGAGCGTTCCTAGACATTAGAGAAACACAGTTAGCCAGGCACAGCTGGGACTCAGAGACAGCCAGGGACTGACAAACCACCACAGCAGTGGGAGACAAAGGGTATCACTCTGTAAGCCAAGTAGAGGAATGACTGTACATTTCTTTGGAAAAAGATAAATATCATCGCTAAAGGACTAAAAAACAGGCAACATTCCAAAAAAAGCCTATACATTCCCTTTACCCTACCCCCTTGGTATGCTGTTCTTCCACTGTCCCCACCCCTCCCCAAATAGAAGTTCATTTCCTATTTCTTATTCTTCTCCATCTTCAAACTAAAAGGGAAATATCTACCGAGCCAGGAACCATGCAAGGTCAGAATTCTCATTACAACTCTTTACCCCATTTAAGGGTTTAAGCAACTTGCATAAGGTTATATAATAACAGGGAGAGCTCAAATCTAAAACAAAAACTAGTTGACTCCAGGGTACTGTACTGCCCACCCTGCTCAAACTTTCCCAGGCTTCAAGGCCCTGCTCGAATCCCTTCTCTTCCAGGAAGAAAAAATCTCTCATTTTCTCTAGTAATAGCTGGCAATAAAATTGAGCATAATATTTTAGAGTATTTTCAAGAAAAATGGTCATACACACCCAACTGGAGGGCAGTAAGCTCCTTGAGGGAGGGGAGTATGTCTTCTCCTGACTGTCCCACAACCAAGCCACAGGGCTCTGCATAGCCTGATGGCTGTCTGAGTCACAGACAAAATGTATTACACCTGGGCTACATGTCAACCTATTGTGCCACATGGTTTGCACACTGCGTTGCTCCAAAGGCCTCACAGTCCTAAAGTCAGGAAAAGAGAATATGAGTTGATTCTGAATACAAGTATAGATGTGGACAAATTTGGTCTCTTCTCTGAAACGATTAACCTGTGTTTCAGAGGTTACAGAAGCTACATGAAAATATTCATTAGTAGCCTAATGTTGTCACTTGCGACTAATGCAGAGAAAATGCATTTTTACTGACTGCACTGATGGTTGCTGCCTGGTTTAAAAGACCCAGTGTCTTTTCCCTCAGAGTCCGTGTAAAATTGGGCTCAGGGGGCTAGAGGAGAAGAGATCTAAACCTAGAACAGGTGTGGAGGGGTATAATGAGTGGGCTCTGTCAGATGCCATCTGTAGAGCTAAAACATCAAGTCCTCGGGGACTTGAGCCTTCTCTGGGGAGCTATGAGTCAGCAAATAACAGGTTGTTTGTCACCACACTCCTCTAATAAAAGAGCATTTTTCATCCAGGTGACATGAGGACATCAAAGACTGTCTTGAGGAGAAAGTCACAATGAGGCAAGATTAAGCCTAGAGGGAAGGAAGAGGAAGCAGAGCAGTTGGTAAACTAGGCCTTCTACATTCAGACTTGGCTTTATGACATTACTGCTCAAACAGGATGCTGAACCAGAAGGAAGGATGCTATGATTGAATTTGGACACAAGCACAGAGGAGGAAGGTGCCCTTCTTCCTAAATGTCCAAATGTCCTAGGTGTGTGAGGGCCATGCCAAAGCCTCACTCTGAGAGGGGAGGACACTACATCCCAGGAACTCAAGCAACTGCCAAGACAGCTAAGCTTCCAAGAACATCAGCACTCAAGCAGGTTAGTGAGGACAATCTGAACTTTCAAAGGAGCGACATTTCTCATGACTACAGTTCCAGCAGGGGAGGTGGCCACATAAGCAAATTTTTAAAAAAGTGATATTAGGAGGGAAAGAGCCCAAGACTTGGAGACAAGAGGATTTATTTAGGTCAAATCCTGGTCCTGACACTTATTAGTTTCCTATGATTCCATTTATATGAAATGTCCAGAATAGGCAAATTCTCAGAGATAGAAAGTAGATCCTTGGTTGCCTAGGGCTTGGGAGTGGGGAGGAGGTGGATGGAGAGTAATTGCTAAGGGTTTCTTTTTGGGGCAATGATAAGGTTCTGGAATTAGATAATGGTGATGGTTGTACAATTCTATGAATATACTAAAAACTACTTAATTACACATTTTCAAAGAGTGAATTTTATGAGACGGGAATATCTCAATAAAGCTGTTAAAAGGAATCTGAATTAGAAATCTTCCCCATATATACTAAAGCCAACAGTAAATTCTCAATGATGTATACAGAAGGGACCTCACAAATGCCTGAAGCCTGGGCCTGTCTGGGAATGCTGCATCTAAACACTGGACCTTCACTTCACCCAGTCTCACAGTGATCACTCAGCAAAGTAACGGGGCTGTTCAGCACCAGCTATCACACATGGTTAACAGGCAGACAGGTAGCCAGGGCCTCCAGAACAGTCAGGCAGTGGGGGTGGCCAGCAACTGGACCTTCACTTCACCCAGTCTCACAGTGATCACTCAGCAAAGTAACGGGGCTGTTCAGCACCAGCTATCACACGTGGTTAACAGGCAGACAGGTAGCCAGGGCCTCCAGAACAGTCAGGCAGTGGGGGTGGCCAGCAGGGAATAAATCCTCCAGAAGAAGAGCAGATGTTGCTTCTCAAACCTGCAGGAATCTTCACACGCAAAGAGGAACCTGGGAAGCCACACTCAGTCCTGCCACCTGTATTATCTCCAGCTTTCTGTAACAATCTCTGAGTTTCTGCTTATAATATCTTCTAACAGAGACCACTGGTGTGTTTCCATCAACCATACCATGTCTGATTTTGACAGCCATGCACACAGTCCACTTATAACTCAAATCAACAGTTATTTGAACAGCCAGTACACACCAGACCTGTGTTGGGTGCTGGCACAAGAACAAGACAGACACAGCCTCTGACCACAGATGACTGTGCCTATCAGTCTGACCTCCTTAGCTACTTTTCAGCTTCTTTGTGGTCAAGGATTAGGGCCTTCTATTTCTCTAATTAAGTCCAACTTGAGGCTTTGAAAAGAAAAATACTTCTTATGACTAAATACAAATATTTCTTAAGGCAAAGCAGGCCAGGGAAATGTTCCTCATTCAAATGTTTGTCATTCAAGGCCCAGGAAAAGAAAAATTCTTTTTTAGCAGTTTCACATTAGTACAGAGATTGTCCACCAAAATCTATTTTCCTCTTCTTCAACAGAAACAGAACACATACATGATGCTTGTAGCTGGGCATCACATTTCCCAGTCTTCCTTGCAAGACAGGTGAGGCCACAGGCTCTCCCCAAGAGAATCTGAGAGGAGTGATGCATGTCCCTTCCCGGCTTGGGCCTTTAAGAGACTGGGTGTGTCTCTTCCAACTATTTGCACCCTGGCTGTCTTCCCCCATCTATCTATTGTTACCTGAAAGGGACAACTCAGTCTTAACTAGAACACAAAGGCAAAGCCCGTGGGTATGATAGAGCCAAAAGATGGAAGAATATTGTACTGCCAGCCCTGGACTATTACATGAGCAAGAAATAAACTACCTTTGTGTTTGGGCCCTGACATTTCTGGGTCTGCTTCAGCCTATCTCTTTCAACCAAAATTTCTGGATTACTGAAGTTTAAAATGCTTGGATTTTGTAAGATGATCAAACATAACTTCAGTGAACTATTTTTTTTCTAATTAATTGTTCCAAAGAATGAAATTATTAAATCTTAAGAAACAACCAAACAAAACCTCAGTCTAGTATAAGGATGAAAATAGGAGCAAAGCTAGTTTGAGATGAATATTAGACCCCCCGCCTTACATAAAAACCAGACTACGGACGTTCCCCCCTTTACCACTTTCAGACAATTTAATGCTTGTACATTTTCAGGACTTTCCTCATTATACTGTAATTGCTCCAAAAGTAAGTTAGTCTTTCCCAAAACAGAAGAGATTACTAGGTTGTAATTTGTTTTGACAAGTAATCACAAGGAATTTATGATAGAGCAAGAAAGCTCCTAAAGGAATAAGAAACACCAACACATACTTTTTCAAGATATAAAGACTAACATTGTTTTAGATTTATGTTATGCTTTTAAGTTTTGCAATTTGATTGAGAAAGGAATAAAATATACTGATTTTTTTCTGAGAGATTTAAAAGACAAATTCTAGGGACACTTTGTTTGAAATATGCTCATCTTTGACTATTCCACTTTTAAAAGCCAAGCAGTCTTTACAAAGACCTTTTCGCCTTCCCCAAACCCCTTATCCTGACACTGCTGAGGTACAAGAAAGCAGAAAAAGTGGACCTCACTGTAGATCATTAATTCTTCAACCCTCAATAATCTTAAAGCCTCTCAACATGCTTTTGGCTCCACCCTTTTGTGGAGAATTCAGTTTGAAAAACTGAATTCTCAAGGACCACAAATGACTTAGTCAACAAATCTAATGACATACTTGCACTGAACTCTGACCTCTGTGCTTCTGACATGTTGGCCTTCTCCATCCTCCCTGAAAGCATGTCCTTCCTTGGTTTCTGTAACATGTCTCTGGTTCTCCTCTGCTCCCAAATCAGGGCCATTTAAAGGGCACTTTTCTCTTCTGACACTATAATCTCTTTCTCTCAAAAGAAAGCCTAATAATCTCCTCTGCACAGATTCCTCCCAAATCTAGTCTTACCTTCTCCTTTTGACTCCAGTGTCTCCTGGACATTTCTAGTGGACACGGTCATCTCAAACTCAACATGTTCTAAACCAAACTTCCCTCCTCCTAAAATTGTATCCCCTCCTGGTTTCTCTATTTTTGTAAAAGATAAAAATATTTCCTTGGCTACTCAGACTGGATCTCAGAAATACAATTTTGAATACATTTTTACTTTTCTCTCACTCCTGCTTTCTAAATTTAGCTAAGTAAGACCTTGGGCAAGCCACTTTACCTTTTGACTCATTGTCTCCTCATCTGAAAAAGAGAGAAAAGTCACACCTGGCAGGTCTGAAAGGATCGTATTTATGAAAATGCCTAGCTAATTACATGTTCATTAAACGTCTCTCTTTTCTCCAGCATCTCCCCACAGCTCCCAAGAAGATAAAAAACATTCTTCAAGGATGTATATGGGGGCCGGCCCGGTGGCGCACTGCTACAGTGCGCTGCTTCGGAGCGTGGTGGCGCTCCCGCCGAGGGTTCGGATCCCACATACAGACCGGTTCCTGCTCACTGGCTGAGCGAGGTGTAGGTGCAACACTGAGGGCTGCGATCCCGTTGCCGGTCCCAGTCCGGTACGGGCGCGACACTGAGGGTTGTGATCCGTTGCCGGACATGACAAAAGACAAAAAGGATGTATCTGTCATATTCCCATAATGCCTTGCACAGTGGCCTGTATACAGAAGTATCCTAATAGATGTTCATTGATTGATGCCCATGGCCAAGCAGCTAAAGGAGTAAGTCAAGAGGTACCAGTATAGGATCAAAAAATATTAACTATCAATATCAGGAAAGATGTTACCTAAGGCTCAATCAATCTAGATGGTACTTGGTACCTAATAGGCTCTGACAAATATCTGCTAAAAAAATGAAACAGATAGTCCTAAGCATCCAGCATTTGTCTCTGTGGGAAATACAAGAGAATTTCCTACCAGCGAGGGAGGTTAGAATGTTCATTCCTCACCAAAAGCAAACAGTGTTCTTTTCTTTAGATTTTGAACAAATAAATACTCACATGTCAAAAGCACTGAACTCCAATGTAAAGCGAGCTGGCAGCCCAGCAGGATCACCTGGACAGAAGCATTATCACATTTTCAATTACAAGTAAGATATAGCAGCATTCACAACAAAAACGCTTGTGAATAGTTTTGCTCTCTTTGTTGAGCCCAAAGAGCCCCCTCTAATTCCTAATTATCTATGATACACAGATTACGTATATATATAGTTGTTCTTCCATATCCAAGGGGGATTCGTTCCAGGACTGACGCAGATACCAAAATCTGCAGATGCTCAAGTCCCTGACATAAAATGGCATAGTATTTGCTTGTAACCTATGCACATCCTCCTGTATACTTTAAATCATCTCCTGATTACTTATAATACCTAATACAATGTAAATGCTATGTAAATAAATAGTTGTTCTACTTCATTTTTTATTTGTATTACTTTTTATTGTTTTGGGGTTCTTAAAAGTATTTTTAGTCTGTGGTTGGTTGAATCCATGGATGTAGAACCCAAGGTTAGGGACGGCCAACTGTAGAGATGATGGCGGAACGTGACAGAGCTCTTGTGAATTCGAGGGATTTGACAAGAATATAAAAAAGATACGTTGGAAAAAAATATTGCCAATCTTCTCACCCAGCAATGCTAAGTAATTGGTATTATTTGGATTAATGATGTGGGTTTCATTAGTACCTTTCTCCTCCCCACAACAGAGGAAAAGAAATAAAAATGAATTTGGATCAAAAGTCGGGGGGTAAAAGAGAGACTAGCAAAGAGCACTAACTATAGAAGACAAGGGTGTCCCTTTCTAAAGGAAAGCTGACGCTGTCCTGGAGGACAGGGAGGATAGCAGAAGAGGATGGAGATGGAGTCTGCTATTGCCTACCATTGTAGTAGTAACCCTTAATGTCCTTGGGAGCTTCATCCAGCCGATACTCATTCAGCTTCTTCTGGGTCAACTCATGCCAGAACCCAACATCCAAGGCACTGCTAAAAGGGGCAAACTGCAACTTGGTGAGTCCAAGATCCCCTGTAGATGCCGCCATTATTTGTTGCTAACTAAAAAACAAAAGAGAGCACAGCAAAATGGCATATCTACACAAAACCTGGTGAGAAAGAATATCTGTAACAAATCTTAATTCAAACAAACAGACAAACAAATGAGAGGTATATGGGGTACCTTAAGACACAACTTTTTTTCTTTAATTGTGGTTAAAAAACACATAACACATAATTTACCATCATGACCATTTTAAAGTATATCATTCAGCAGTATTATGTACATTCTCAATGGTGGGAAACAGATCTAACCACAACTACCCATTCCCTCTCCCCTCCGCCCCTGGCAACCACCGTTTTTTCTGTCTCTATGAGTCTGACTACTTTAGATACCTTATATAAGTGAAATCATTGGAATCATACAGTATTTATGTTTTTGTGACTCACTTATTTCAATTAAGCAGAACTTTGAAAAACGTCCTGAGTAATTTGTCAGTGTTGTCAAGTTTAGTCTCCTCATGACACAAGTGATGTTTCTAAGTAACTCTTTCTGGCCTTAACTTTTGTGGATGTTCCTTTCCTATTAGAGTCAGTCTGACTGACACACAAGTGTCTTTTTTTTCTTCGATATAGTCACAATCTCAGAAGTTTTCACCATCCTGTGTGGTTCTAGAGAACTCTGTAAGTACAAAATCCTAAATCCAGCCAGTTAGAAATGTAACAACCCAAACTGTTAGAATTCTGTCTATGTGAGAGCAGTGCTTTCACATCCCCAGCCGAGGAGGAGAATGAAGGATAAGTTTCTCCCCACCTCCCATGGTGCCTGAAAGTCTTTGAAATCTTGTTTTATCTCCTAATGGCATGGAAGTTTTCCATTCTATGGCACTATATACATTTTAATATTTTATTTCTCCTCTCAAATCATGAAATAAGTTGGACCCTCCCGGCAATTATGCATGTATGTGCTATAACTTCCTATATTCTGCATATACTTTCAGGGGTACAAATACCCCAGTTTGAGAAGCATAATACTGGAGGAATCTGGCATTTCCAAAATAGCACAAGCTGAGGAGATGCCTTCACTTTCCATCCTATCCAATTACTCCATGACCAGACATATTAGTATTTCTGCAGAAGCATGTATGAATAGTCATGCTAAGTGGGATAAATTAAATAAGACAGTTCACATCCAATCAGAGAGGTTTTGCCTGAGTTTTGTGCCATGATTATTAAAAAGCTTTCAGTTTTCCAAACTTGCTGGATTTTAGAATTAGAGATAAGAAGCTTTGGATTGATAGTAACTATATGATAAAATGCAAAGTTAGTACTCTACATAAAAAGTGCTAACAATTAAGACGACAGCCATGAGTGTGGGGCAGAGCCATGAGAAAGGCTCTGTGAAGGAGATGGGTGCTGAGTGACACTGAAAGGATGGGTAAAGAGGGGCAGATGGAAGGAAGGCAGAAGGAACAATAGCCACGTTGTGGCAGAAATGGGCACGTGTGAGACTACCTGTCCTTAAGTGGAGGGTTTGCACTGTGCAAGAGCAGTGCACACAAAACTGAATGGGTTGCATGGATAAACACGTATGGAGACACAAATGCGTGGCTGGAGAATTTCAGAGTGGAAGGCCATGGCAGTTCTACACAGGGAATGTATTTTGTTGGTTTTTGTTTGTTTGTTTGGTGACTGGCTGGTGCAGGGAACCAAATCCTTCACCTTGGGGTCACAAGGATGTGCTCTAACCAACTGAGCTAACTGGCCAGTCTACATAGGGAATGTATGTCTACAGTGGCAAAAGGGCTTTGAAGGAGGAAATCAGTTAAGAGTCTAAGGATTTATAAAGACCTGGGTGAGAACAGAGGAAATAAGACTAGAAAGGGGGAGACCCTCATTTGGGATGTTTTAAGAGAAAAGGGGTAACCAAACTTGATACCTTGGTGTATTCAAGGAATGAAAGAAAGGGGCAAGCCCTTGGGGTGTCGAGATGTGACTGGCTAGAAGAATGGTAGCTCCATTGAAAGACACTTGAGGAAGAGTTCTGGTCAAGATGGCAGAATAGATGGTCCCCAGAGTCACTCTCTCTCACAAATCAACCAATTTACAACTATAAAAATGTAACAACAGCCAAGCTAGGGCCACTGGAACTCAGGGGAAGAGGAAGAGAGACCTATGGAGTTCATGAAGGGGGAGAAGCCACAATGAGAGAAAGAAAAAAAATGCTTGGAGTGTTTCAGGCTGCAGCTGCTTTAAGGCTGGAGCTGCTGAGCACATGGAGCAGGAGCTGGGAGAAGCCACAGCTGTACCCTTCAGATGGAGTTGCTTGGAGGCAGCAGGGGAGATTAGGGCCTTGATGGCCCCCAGGACAGTAAGACTACTAATCGGGTTCCCATGGCAGGAGCAAGGAGCCAGAACAGCTGAAAAAGGGGAGCCATTCAGAGGCCGGTGAGTCACTGCAAGGGATCGGCACAGGGCCTGTCCCATGGGAAGTGCTTGGAGACCAGGTGGTGAGGGAGACGGGCCCATCGGGAGAACACTGGGACACAGCAAGGACAGCCGATCCGCCCCCCAATCAGCGCAGGACAACTCAGAGGAGACTGGTCAGGAATGCCAAATTGCACAGGGTGCAGTTTGATGAAAAAACTCAGGCCCAGATCAGAGTTTCTACACAACCCAGGTGCACTGGGTCTCTGGAGCACTGCCAGTACCTACAAGGTCAACCATTAAACCCTGAGCTGCACAAAAAGTCTTCCCTAGGGAAACAATCAGCAAAGCAGCAATTTAGCTCAACCACACAGCTCAAGTACTGATTCTCACAGGAAGTTCCTCTGTTTTAGAAGTAAGCAAAGGACAAATAATTAGTTCCAGCCCATGTATACCACCAGAGCCTCAGTGCCCCACCCGGGGGCCGGGGGCTGGGGGCCAGGGGCATTGAGTCGGGGACTGGACCCCACTCCCACATCCAGGCACACCACCAGTGCCTTGGGGGCCCACCCAGGGGCCTGGGGCATGGACCCAGGGACTGGACCCTCCTGCTCACAACCAGGCACACTGCCAGTGCCTCAGGGCCCCACCCGGGGGCCTGGGGCTTGGAGCCTGGGACTAGGGCCCCCAGCCCACAAGCAGGCACACTGCCAGTGCCAAAGAGCATGCCAAAAACATCACCTCCATGTGGGTGGCCCACCACAGCCACCATAGTAACCACGGCTGCCATGAAAGTGACTAGACGTCACAACCACTGTGCAGATGGTCCACCAGCCACTGAAGTGCATTGACAAAAGGAGAATCACCAGCAGAGACCAAAGAAAAGAAGAGGATGTCTCTCTCCACAAAGCCTATTACAGAGTGACAGAAGAAGCAGCTGCTTTATGATAATACTGGGGGATGTGAACACACCTTTCAGCATTGGACAGATCATCTAGGCAACAAATCAACACAGTAACCATTACTGTTTCAGAAGGAGAGAAGAAATCTAGGGTTATCAGTGGTAGGAAGGGGAAGTGAGAGAGGGATAGGGAGAGATTGGACAAGGGGCATAAAGAATAAGTACAATTTATAACAATATATATACTGGTAATATTGATTTGAACAACATATGTCAACATTGAACCCCCAAAATACGTATAATCAATTATGATTCAATAAAATAAAATTAAAAAGAAAAAAACACTTCGAAGGCAGAGCCAGTCTCAGAAGAATAATAAACGAGAGACATTTTCAGCTGTGGACAATGGCAGGGAAGTGAAGGAAATTGAGTCTAGACCAAGAAGGTGGACGCAGAGATGGAAGAGGCATTGATGTGGAGGTGACAACTGAAGCAGGTGAGAATGGTTAGCTCTTACAAGTCACTCAAGAGAAAGAAAAGCCACAGCCCGACAAAGTCCTAGAGAATGTCCACAGACAGGGAGTAAGAAGAAATAGAACCAGTAAAACAAACAAAGCAATAGTTGGTACACCAGGATGGTATATCTATCTACCTACCACCTGTAAAAAGTTTTTTTTAATCTATAAAAAACTTTGAGCAGAGTAATGATGAAAGGGTACTAGAAGTCAAAGAAAATGGTCAATGCCACTGAATTTTAATGTTTAAAAGGAGCTCAGTGGTAGCTTTCTAAAATGCAATTTGATGGTAGATTGCTAAAAAGAGAATAGTCTGTGAAGGCAGGATCACCACAGGGGAGTAACTGACTGTGTTCCCAGCAAGTTCCAGGGGGGCAGGTTAGTTTGTTACTAGATTCCTAATGGGTGGTTGTTTTTCACCAGGCTGAATATGTTCTCCACATTTAAAAATATGCTTTGGCAACAGAAATCCAACTGTGAATGAATGAAAATTTCAGAATGGGGGCTTAGCAAACTGAGAAAAAAAAAATGGAAAACAAGAGGTGGGAATTATAATAATTTAAAATTTTTCTATGTAATCAATAAGCTTCATTGATCACAAAGGACAGCACATAACTGTCTCTAAAATTCTCAGCTACCTCAGCATGGTCTGCAGCATCATGCACAACACAATGCCTGACCAAGGGTTTTCAAGCTTTCACCACCTTGAGGACTGTTAAAAAATGAGGATACAGGGAGCCAGGCTGTGGCTCACTTGGGAGAGTGTGGTGTTGATAACACCAAAGCCACAGGTTCGGATCCCTATATAGGGATGGCCAGTTAGTTCACTTGGGAGAGTGTGGTGCTGACAACACCAAGTCACGGGTTAAGATCCCCTTCTTAACTGTCTTAAAAAAAAAAAAAAAAAATGAAGATACATGGGCCCACCCACTCTGTCAAGAGGAGAAGGGATGGTGAGGGTGGCCAGGAGCGTGTGAGTCTGACTAGTGCCCAGGTGATGCTGATGTAGTTTGCTGCTATCTTGATGCCACAGGTCACTGGCACTCTCACTTTTGAAGGCCCCACCTCTAAATCAATTCAAATATACTTAAAGTTACCCTCATTCCATATTAAATAGTTTTGGGCTCTTAATTGTTTAAGAGGATTTTTGCAATTTTGCACTCTCAGAATTTTTCTCTTCTTTTTCCAGGTCACTCCTATTTTCACAGGTTCCTG